GATTGATAAGATGTTGGTTGAAAAAGGGAAGAAGAAAAATTAAAAAAAACAGTTAAAAAAATTACCTTTGAAAAACTAATGAATCATGGTAAAAAAGCCATGAATTCTATGTGTAGTATTCCCCTAGCGCTGGAGTTCTCCCGTTCTCCTCGATCGGTAAACTTGGTCTTGGCTGGCTGTTCGTGCTGATCTTCTGGGGGAGGGGCCTGTTGCCGTAGTTCCCAAATGTCTTTGCCGGAGGTGGAATTACCCCGCCCTTGTGAGTCTGGGCTAAGCAATCTGCTCGGGTTTGCTCTCAGGAGCTTTTGTTCCCTGCAAGCTCTCGGTACAGCTTTGGAGGATGAGAGTGAAAATGGTGGCCTCCCAATCTCCGCCCGGACGAGCCGAGAACTCGGGGCCCCGCTCCTCAGTGCGCCCCCAGAGAAAAGCAGTCAATCACTCCCGTTTTCCCGGTCTCCGGCCGCACTCCATGCTCACCCGGCCTGTGACCGAGCATTTCTATCTCTGGCACCCGACCCCGTGTGGAGTCTCCAAACCCAGCAGATCCCTGCGGTGCGCTCCTGCGCCGCTCCTCCCCGGGGAGGAAGGGGAGTCTCCCCGGCTCTGCCGCTTGTTGGGTCCCTGCTGGAGGAGCAGTGGCCCGAGTGGGCCGCGGATCACAGTTTATGGCAACCCGGAGCTGAGAGCCCGCGCCTCGGCTCCGTCTCTGCAGCCAGCTTCCCCGCTCCGATCCCTGGGAGCTCTGCCACACTCAGGCACCCCCGGTCTTTCTGTGACCCCGAGGGTCATGAGACCACACTCAGACCACACTAAGCAGGTTTCCACCCCCCGCTTAGCCACTGGAGCGACGTCCCTCAGCGGAGCCGACTTCTAAAATTTCCGATTTTGTGCTCCGCGGCTCCATCACTTGCCAGAAGCAGCGGAGGCCCCCTCCTCCGCTGTCTATCCTCCCGAATATCGCCTCGGATTCACTTCTCCGCACATCCTACCTTCCAGTAAGTGGTCGCTTCTCTGTTCAGAGAGTTGTTGCCACTCTCTTCTTCGATCTCCTGTTGAGTTTGTAGGTGTTCAAAATGGTTTGATCCGCATTCAGCTGAATTCCTGAGACCAGACGAAATCCAGGTCTCCTACTCCTCCGCCATCTTGCTCCGCCTCCTCTTTCATTTCTTTTGTGAGTTTTCTCACCAAGTAATTACTTTTTGTTGTTGATGTTATAAATTGTCTATTTTGAATTGCATGTTTTTGTTTTTTGCTGATACATACAAAAATTGACTTGTGTTTTGATTTTATACAAGGTTCTAACTGCAATTTTATTTATTTAGTAGTATGGGTCTCCTGAGTAGATAGTCATATTATTAAAAAATTAGAGGTTCCTTTCTTTCAATTCCTTATAGTTTTCTTTTGTGTGTGTGTCATATAATACTGTACAAGGCCTCTAGGGCAACATAGAAGTAATGAGAATTCTATTTCCTTCTTTTCTCTCTCTCTTTCTTTCTGATACAATTTACACAAAATATCATAAAATTCACTATTTTAAAGTATCCAATTCATTGGTTTTTAGTATATTCACAAGAATGTGCAAGCATCACCAGTATCCAATTTCAGAACATTTCCATCATCTCCAAAAGCAACCTTCTAAACATTTGTACTCATTCCCAATTTTCTCCTTCCTTAGACCTCTAACCTACTTTCTATCACTATGGATTTGCCTTTTCTAGAAATTTTATAAAAGTGGAAGCAGACAGTGTGTAACCATTTATGTCTGTCTTCTTTCATTTGACATAATGGTTTTAGGGCTCCTCTGTATTGTATCATGTATCAGAACTTCATTCCTTTTTATGGCTAAATATTATTCCATTGTATAGATTTACCATAATTGTTTATCTATTCATCAGAGACGGACATTTTGGTGGTTTCCATTTTTTGGCTATTATAAATAATGCTTTGAATAATTTTATATAAGTTTTTGTATGAATATGTTTTAAATTCTCTTGAGTATATACTTAAGAGTAGGATTTCTGGGACATATTTTAATTCTATGTTTAACTTTTTGAGGAACCACCAAACTGTTTTCCACAGAGGTAGCACCATTTTATTTTCCCACTAGTAATTTCTCTACATCCTTGCCAATACTTGTCATTTTTCCTATTTTTTAATAGATACCCTGTGCGTGTGAAATAGTATCTCATTTGGTTTTGGATTTTGATTTCTTTAATTACAAATGATACTGAATATCTTTTCCTGTGCTTATTGGCCATTTGCATATATTCTCTAGAGAACTATCTATTCAGATCCTTTGCCTATTTATAAATTGAGTTGTCTTTTTATTGTTGAGTTATAAATGTTCTTTATATAATCTGGATATTAAACCCTTATGAAATATATGATATGCAAATATTGTCTCCCAATCTATAGGTTATATTTTCACTTTCCTGATAGTATCCTGTGCACAAATTTTTTAATTTTGATAAAGTCCAGTTTATCAATTTTTGCATTGTTTTTGCTCCTGGTGTCATGTCTAAGAAACCAGTGCCTAATTCAAGGTCATGAAGATGTAGCCCTATATGTCCTTCTAAAAGTTTTAGAGTTTTAGCTCTTACATTTAGGTCTTTGACCCATTTTGAATTAATTTTTGTATCTGGTGTGAGTTAAGGGGTACAAATTCATTCCTTTGCCTGTGGATATCTAGTTGTCCCAGTATCATATATTGAGAAGACTGGAAAGTAGGCATTCTTGTCTGGTTCCTGATTTAAAAAGTATTATATAGTGTTGGTAAAATTTTTTTAACCTAATATTTATCAGGTAAAGTTAGTTCCTATCTCATTCTGATAATCTATGAGTTTAAATCTTATAGTAAGCTCTTCATTGGAATGTGAGGTTATCCTACCACCAATGCAATTCATTACATCAGCAATGTAGTCCAGAGACCTAATGTGGGCAACACAGATACAGTGCTACCTATACCTAGAAGAGTCACCAAATGGGATGAAGTGAATGAACCTGCCATCACTCCATCACTATTCACTAGAGTCACTATTCCTGAGACTTGGCAGGCTGGATCATAGGCCTTAACTTGTGTGCCAATCTCAAATGTTTGGAAGTGGCCACATGGGCTGTTGTGTTCAGAAGTCTGAAGTTCAACTTATACGACTCTGATTAATTAATGATATCTGACACCTGCATGTAAAGGGGGGTAGGCAGCACAAATAGGACATATTTGCTATTCTTATCCTAGGCCCTCTTTCTCTCTGACAGATTTGTGTACCTGCTTTTTTTTTTCCTTAAGTTGTCCTGGATATAACCCCTTACTTTTCTTAATCATTGGATTTGGCCATTTCTCTCTTTGCTTGATGCTTGATCCTGACTCCTGGATACATCCTCTTTAATACTTACATAGCAGAGAACAAGCCGACAAGCTTTGCTAAGGGATATGTCTTTGACAGACCTGGTCCCAGGCATTCTGTTTGGTTGTCAGACTCCATGTCAGACCATGCGTCAGAGGAGCATGTTCCCATTTGGAATTGGAAAATTAAGACATATATACAAGACTCAGAATGGCAATTAGAGCCTCCGGACCAAACAAACATCATAGTCAACTTCTGTGTCTTCCAAAACAAGCAATATAAGGAAATGGGTTGCAGTGAGGGAGACAGTCCTCTTTAATGAGTCATGTAGGAGATAGGGGTGAAGGGTCAAATGAGGCTTTCCCATGCCTCAAGGTCTCACATGCTATATGGAGTAGATGTCATCTTAGGTTGTCTGGAGAAATTCTTGGAAATGTAGTCTGGGATACCAGTCTAGCCCTTCTGGAAGGCTTAAGAATCTGCCTTTATGATCAATACTTTTTTCTGTCTTCAAGTTCCTGGTACCTGAAAGCTTCTGATACATTGGATTAATTAAGATCTAAATATTCAGCATCAACAAGATAGAACTTTATTTCTCCCTCATGGCACAGTCCAGACATAAGCAAGGCAGGACCAATGAAGTGGCTCCACCAAGTCAGTGGCCCAGTTCCTTCTAACTCATTCATGTGCTATATTTACAGTCTTTGCGGGAAAGAAGACTCACCTCCCTACAGCTGTATTCTAGTAAGGGAAAATGGGAAAAGGAGGAGAGGACATGCTCATTTCCTTTAAGGGTACCAACTAGAAGTTGTATAAAACTCTTAATGCTCTACATGCATTTGCTGGAACTTACTCAGTTGACTACACATAGTTGCGTGTTCTCATCTATGACCTGGCAGTTCTGTTACTAGAGACAAATGGGAAAATAATATTGGGGAACAACCAGCAGTCTCTGGTATATAATATTTTGTTCAATAAATGAGAAAAACTAAGTCAAAAGAAAACTATAAGGAAAGAATTTACCTTTGATAAAGATCACCAGGTCTAAGTCTTTCATGATCTTAACAGAAAAGAAGACAGACTTGGTTTTTCCAAAGACTGACAAATTCATGTTTAAGGGATATATTGCTGTGGGGCACTCTTAGTTTGCCAGCAATTTCAGTCCTGAAGTCTAGGATTGAATGGATATATCTGAAATCTCTCCCCCCCTCTCCCTAAGGGCTATCAGAAGAGGCATTTCTTTTACCTAAGAGAAGGGATCATCACTTGCTTATTCTGCCTAGGGGCAGAGTTCCACTTACATGGAAGCTGTGTTGAAGAGGAAATATATTAGTATGGTTGACACTGCTTGCATTCACTAATATCTGTTTTTCCCTTTTTTTCTGGACGGAGATATAAAAAGCCCCTCTGCAACTTTTCAACCCTTCTTCCCAGCTGAGGTCATCTTAGGGGATACTTTGGGTTTTGCAGTATAGTCACAACACCAAAGTAACTGGATTACTAGACATCTGAAAGTCACTCAGACCCACAGCTGATACTGTTTTGTTATGTTGTGGTGCTCAGATTTTGGGATTTCTTATTACTGTTAACATAAGCTAGTCAATTCTGAGTATTCTATTTAGCAAGTATTTATCAGCCTCTAGGTATGAACAGACATCAGTTATGGAGTCCTGGAATGAACTAGAAATAGGAAATGTCTCTGCTTTCAAATACCTTATAATGTAGCTAAATTGTCCAATTATAGCAACTCAAAGACAATCATAAGCCAAGTGTAATATAAAACTGTGTTCTTAAAACAAAAGAGTGATTAGTGTTGGATGTGGTTCATCTGGGAAGACTTCCTCTAAGAGAGAAAAAAAATCAGTTTCTCCATCTGTGCTGGAAGAAAGTAACTCAAACACAGTCAGGAAAAGAGGATTTATGCAGTGTAAATGGCTAAACCTGACGGCTTCTGGCTAATTGAAAGTGTCAGTGTTATTGTGCTTAGGTTAATGGGGCCCTTTAGCTTCTTGTCTGAGCTGCTCCTCCCAAAAAGCTCAACAACCAGCCCTTTCTAAGGGCTCAGAAACCTGGAGGGCACCTCCTTGGGCTCTGATAGCTAGCAGCAAGCTCATGGGTGATGGGAACTCATAATTAGGCATTTCACTCCTCTTGTATGGACAAAGTCAGCTGTTTCTTCATGAATCAGAGTGAGCTGAAGACCTTGAGGGATATTTCATTGCCTCTTTCATTGTCCTTCCCAAACAATATCATAAACCATAAGCAGGAACAGGAGGGTAGGCGGCGGGGGGGGGCACACCTCTGGCTTCTGACCTCTCCTGTTTGAGCAGCCTGATCTACTCTACAAACTGTACTTTTGATGGCCACAGACAAGAATTGTGGAAAGTGTATGGTCTTAACCAGCATTCAGAGAGCAACACTGGGCCTCAAGGTCTCTAAGCTGTGTCATTGATTTACGGTATTAGGGAAGGGCTGCAGGCAGTTGATTTAGACTCTTCATGAAAGCATTGACATGCATAGAATATTAGCTAATGGTGGTAATATCATAGGATGACAGAGCATTTGGATTAGACTAGGCAACAAATGACTATTGGAATGATGGGACATTTATAGGAGAACAGGTAAGATCAGGTTCCTTCCAGTATATGCTTTCTGTTCCCTGTAGGGGCTTTTGTCATTTCACATAGCCTACTCTATTACCTTGCTGGACTACACATTTCTGTCTGGGTTCTTCATGACTAGAGGAGAGCTTGACTCATAGCTGGTGTTCAGTTAATAATGGATGTATTAAATGGAAATAACTGGAAGTCTTTGGCATGGAAAGGAGAAGACTGAGGCTTTACGATCAAGATCTAAATTCTTTGTGGGGGTGACTGTATTGAAAGGGGACTTAATTACTAAATCCTTAATAATGAGTTGGAAGACTCTTCTTTGAAACTGGATCAAGATAAATTTGTAACTAATGAAAAGATGGTCCATTTCCTACATTAGGAAATAAGTTCCTGGATCCCATTTTATAACAGGTGATAGTGGAAGGAAACAAATGAATTTTTTTTTTTCAGAAGTTTATTTCAAATTGAGAACTGGCTTTAATGAACCCTAAATGAAGTTTTGGTTGGGACCTCTAAGATTAGTCTAAGACTCCAGTGACTTCTGTAGCACCCTGATAACAACGACAACAAGAACAACAAATGACTGGACTGGCCAAAGATTGTTGCATTAGTGGGACATGCAGAACCCTCCATAAACTGTCTCTTGCCTCAGCTCTTCCCATTCTTCCATGTGAATCCCATGTCCTAGAGACTTCAGTCTACACCTCTTACTCTTCACAAACTACTTAATGTTTGTTTCTTTGCTTTTCCCACCTTCTTTATCTATTCTTCCTGCTAACCTTCATTCTTGATTTCCTGTATAAACCCATCTAAACCAGGCCCTTGGACTTCTCCCTTGCTACAGACTGATGGCAGGTCTAGACTCTACTGATGTCTTGCTGTCAGCCACCTTGAATTATTACTTATATTTTAGGCACCTATTCTATTTCTCCATATTTAAGGACAGGAAGTACATGATCCTTTGTGATTTAGCTTGAGTCTTTAGCTGAGACTCTTGCAAAATGAAAACTGATATTTGTTTTTCAAGAGACAGTGCTACTAAGGAGTAATAGAAGACATTATTAGAAATGTCAAAATCAGTAACATGTATCTCCACCATTAACATTACTAAAGATGCAGCCATTCAAAAATAAGTTCAATGGATTGATTCATTGTCAATGCTTCAAGAAACCTTGAAGGTCACTGTGTTGAATTCTTATCTACTGCTGGTGGATGTATAATCAATTAGGAATTGGTCAATTTAGCAATAGTTAAAAATATTATTTCTACTGGTACTCCAGCAATTTTTATACATAGATATGTGTTCTGAAGAAGTTTGCATATATGCATAAGGTAGCATTTATAAAGATGCCCATTATAACACTGTTTTGTGAGAAATTGGAAAGAAAATAAATATCCATTAAAAGGGGATTAGATAAAATGCAGTCTTTTCATGAGGTGGAATTCTAGACAGAAGTTAAAATGGATCAACTGGAATTGATCTCAAGGAAAATCCCATGATAAATAGAAAAATATATACAGGATCTACATTTATTAATAAAACAATAACCTTATTTCTGGATAAACATACATAGTAAAAACCTTAAAAGTTAATTTGTGTACTTTATTTTTTAAATTGGTAAATAGGTTTTAAAGGGATTATGCTAAAAATAAAACAACCATTAACATTCTGATATTCAAAGGAAGAAACTCCCATCAAGAGGTGTGCTAGCTATGTGGACAATGTTTGGCCCTTTTTTTGAACAAAACGGTTATTAAAAATTTTATGAGATGACCAGGGAAATGTGGGCACATACTAAATATTTGATAATAGGAATTATAAGTATTATAGGTATAATAATGATACTGTGGTTACGTTTTTAAAATTTTTAAGCCCTTATCTCTTAGAAATAGCTAGGCATATGTATGGAAGACATTATATGATTTCTGAGATTAATTTAAAAAAACCTGCTTGGGGGGTACCTGGGTGGCTCCTTTGGTTAAGTGTCTAACTCTTGATTTGGCTCAGGTCATTATCTCAGAATTGTGAGATCAAGAGCCCTGAGTCAGGCTCTGCACTGGGTGTGGAGCCTGTGTACAATTCTCTGCCTCTGCCTCTCCCGCACCCCTTAAAAAAAAAAATCTATTTAGGAGAAAAGGAAATGGATGAAGGTGCGTACAGTAGAAGTAAGATCAGCTGTGTGTTGACTTATAGATTCAGGAGACTGATTACGCCATTGTCTCTATATTTATGAATACAAATATATTTTTGAAATGCTCCAAATAAGGACTTAAAAAAATGGCTTTAAAAGAAAAATTAGATTCTAGGACCACTACTCCTTGTCCAGTGCTCTTCACAATAAATCCCACTGAGACTGTAATTGTTTGGACTCCCTCAACTGTTCAGAGTAAGCAAGGGTACATAAGGAGGTTTTGCTTAAAACTATTTTCCTACCAGAGAAAGTTTCATACAAAGAGTAATTTTTATTTATCAAAAGTAGTCTACAGTTGAGCTGTCAGTTCTGGTCGAGGTATATCTCAGATTTCTCTCTCTTTTCCAAACACACCAACGTAACAAAGCCATGTGATTGAGAGAGCAGAGCCTGAAATATCTGTAAGCAACCACAGAAGGGTGGGAGGTTACTCATTCCAACTTTATGATGTCCCAAGAAACTGTTGCGATAAGAGAAAAAACTGAAAAATAAATGAGAGATAAACGAGATAATGGAAAAAACAGAGGGGAACAAGACAACACTCAACTCTGGCTTGAGAAATTTATTATGCCAAGGAAGATAAATTGGAGAAACATGAAAAGGCAGAGATCTTGTCTCTGCCTCATGTATTTCTCTTTAAGTGAATGAGAAATAATACAGAAATAAAAGAGTTCAAAACAGAGCTGTGTGCTCAGCCAAAATCATGGTTCCTAATGATTTTCAACTTTGGCAGAAGCCTCACATGTTGTACTTGAGCAGTTTTCTTGATTTTGAATTATACGTGTAATTCATCCCAATCAGAATGTAGCTGGGGAGCCAAGATGCATTTACCAGTCGGAAATGAGAATGCTGGTCATGTGCTAAAGCCAGTCTCCCTTTTTCATATCAGAAGTGTCTATACTGTCATCAGTTTGGACAGTTCCGGGAAACAAATGAACAAATAAAACTTGTGAAATCAGTTGTTTGGAGTCATCTTGGCAAATAAATTGTCATATTACATATTTTCTTCTCTTACCAGGCTGTTCTTGCATTAGAAAAACATAGTCTAAGACGGGCAAACTGAAATGCATGAAACAAATGATGGACAGAGGGCGCACATATCAGGCCAGGGGGTCTATAAGTGTCCAACTGGACTTCCTGCTTTTTCTTTTAACAGGACAGGAAAGGATGAAGGGGGATAATATGTGATAAGAGTTTGCACCTTAGAAAATTTAACCATATGAGGAGCCACTGTTGTTGCTGATTCCACTCTGTGAGTGTGACTAGCAAAAAATCAGATTCCGGCATGCTTTGTTTTTAAATAGTAGTGGAACTGTAGTTTAAGTTTCATAAAGCATATTTTCTAGGGTGTAAAAAATATTCTTTAATAACTGCATTTGCAGTCTTTGTTCACCATTTCTTTGGCTTTTTTGTTCTCTGAATAACCCCAGCTGATGGGTCATTCCTGCCAATCCATCACATTTGGTTTTTCTTTCCTTTTTTTTTTTTAAGATTTTGTTTATTTATTTGTCAGAGAGCACAAGCAGGGGGAGCAGCAGAGGGAGAGGGAGAAGCAGGCCTCCCTGCTGAGCAAAGAGCCTGATGCGGGACTCGATCCCAGGATTCTGGGGTCATGACTTGAGCCGACGGCAGATGCTTAACCAACTGAGCCACCCAGGCGTCCTACATTTGGTTTTTCTTGAGTTTAAGCTAACAACCCAAAATATTAGTCAATTCTCTAAGTATTGTTTGCATGTCCTTAAGTTTTGTTAAGGGAGTCAGCATTGTGGTGTTTACTTTGGGATGGAATAAAGTCATTGCAGGAAGATTCGTTTAAGAAAAACGAAGTGTTTGTTTGTTTAGGAAGGTAGAAAGAGGTGTAAGTATGTCATTAGGTACACGGATGGATAGATGGATGAATGGGTGGGTGGAAGGATGGATGGATGAGTGGGTGAGTGGGTGGGTGGCTGGGTGGATGGATAAGGGCTGGGAGTGAAGAAGGGGGAGAGTGAAGAAAGGGAAAGAGGGAGGGAAAGGAGGGAGAAGGAGATGGGGCAAGATCACTGGCTGAATCGGACAAACCAATGGGTTCCAATTCTGAACGTATTATTTACTAGCCCAGTCAGTTTGGGTAATGTTTTTAACAAACCTTTTTGACCCGCAAGTTACTTACTTATGCAGAAAATTTAGCTAATAATATCTGCCTTGTTGGGTCATTATAAGGATTATAGGTGATGGTAACTTTTTTTAAAAAAAAATAAGAAAATGAAAGGGAAAGATAATATATTTTTAAAATAAAAAAACCTCTCCCCACCAGAGCAAATATGTCCATGGTCCTTTCATTGAAATTCCAGGTTTTAGTTTTATAAAAAGTTCAGAAAAGACCAAGAGAGTTCCCTGCTCCCAAATAAATATGTGGGAAATTATGTTAGTAACATTAAAATGTGAGCTTCTTGTGACAATAATGACATTATTGGAACATAAATGGCAGCTCAGTCAGAATCTCCTTGTAACTATATCAAAGAAGACAGTTGTAGCTTTGTTCTCAGTATGACCTACTTGGGGTTTGACTGTTTGTTGATGGATATTATCATTTTTAATGTCAGTAAATAATGTGATGTCAGATAAATGACCTGTTTCCTTTCTGTGGTATAAAGCTCATTTATCTTTAGGGAGCTTGAGTGAGGAGAGAAATCTGAGCAGGACCAACTGTTTCTGAATGTGCAGGATGGGAAATATCTTATTAATCCTACTTAACATGAGTCTCCAGTTGAGTTCAATTCTAAATATACATCTGGCAAATCAATGAAAGTATATGCTTTTACCATTGACTGTGTTTTACTTATTAGAGAGCAACAGAAAGTAAACATTTTTTTTTTCTACTAGAAGAAAATGATGCTACTCACAAAGTGCTACTGTGTGGCTAGTATCTAGAAGACATCCCTCTTTATAACTCATATTTGGCTTTGCCCAATCTTCTGCTTTAAGAAATCATAATGATATAAAATTAAGGCTCAAAAAGATATGTTTTAATTGACTTTACTGATAATATCTTTGAGAATCACAAAATAAAAAAATATGGTAGAGTTCAGGGCGCCTGGGTGGCTCAGATGGTTAAGCATCTGCTTTCAGCTCAGATCATGATCTCCACGTCCTGGAATCGAGCCCCACATTGGGCTCCCAGATCAGCAGGGACTCTGCTTCTCCCTCTCCATCTGCCTCTCCCCTTGCTTGTGCTCTCTCTCTCTCTCTCAAATGAATAAATAAAATCTTTAAAAAAGAATATGGTAGAGTTAAAAGACTCTGGAATCATAAAAAATTCCTATGATTTTGATTCTGGGATATATAGTGTCTGATTCCCTCCTAAGATGACCACTGAAAAGCCCACACTCTGGGGTACCAGGTAGCTCAGTTGGTTAAGCGTGTGCCTTTGACTCAAGTCATGAGCTCAGGGTCCTGGGATCAAGCCCTGCATGGGGCGCCTTGCTCAGTGAGAAGTCTGCTTCTCCCTCTGCCCCTCCCCCTTCTCTCTTTCTCTCTCAAATAAATAAATAAATAAATAAATAAATAAAATCTTAAAAAAAAAAAAGCCCACATCGTTTGTTTCTGAGGATGAGCTCATCTCATGAATCCATTGTCTGTTTTCTCAATGACAATACATTTAGCTAAAACCATCTTCTCTGTCAGGAGATTCAGAGCAGGTTGAAGACAATTTGCTTTTCTGGAGACAGTCAAGTAGGGTGACAATTATCTCACTGAGTTTTTCTTAATACATTGAAGATCACTTGGGGCATTTCCTTAGCCCTCTGGAGTTTTGGAGGGCCATTAATGGAATCTAGGAGAACCAAGTCTGGAAGCTTCTTTAGAGGTCATTTAATAAAAATGTCTACTTTTTTCCTAATAAGAAATCAGAGGTAATAATATACAGGATGAGTTTGCAGTATAGGAGATGGAGTACAAGGACTTTTTGTCTTTACTAAGGCAAAGTTATTTTGTCACATATTGAAATATCCACTGATGATTTGATGATTTAAAATCTGTTTGAAAATTTTGCAGATTTATCTTTGTCAATTCCATTAAATTAGTGAGCTAGCAGGGAGTGTAGGGTGGGTATTTATTTCACTCTCCAATGAGTAGTGTTCACAAAAACTGTCCACCTATTTATCTGGAATAGGGGTTGGCAAGCTAAAGCTCATGGGACAGATAAGACTAGTGGCCTGTTTTTGTACATCTGAGCTAAGAATGGTTTTTACATTTTTTTAAAGATTTTATTTATTTATTTGACAGAGAGAGACACAATGAGAGAGGGAACATAAGCAGGGGGAGTGGGAGAGAGAGAAGCAGGCTTCCTTTGGAGCAGGGAGCCCGATGCAGAGCTCGATCTCAGGACCTTGGAATCATGACCTGAGCCAAAGACAGACACTTAATGACTGAGCCACCTAGGCACCCTGGTTTTTACATTTTTAAAAGCTTGTTAAAAAAACAAGAATATGAAATATGTGAAGAAGATTATATGTGGCCCCCAAAGCCTAAGGTGGTCACTATCTGTCCTTTCACAGAAAAAGTTTGCTGATCCCTGGCTAGAATATTCAGAGAAGGAGGCTCTGTGACTTTCCTTGTGAATCACACAGTATTTTTTCTGTTTTTTATTTTACAGACAACTTTATAAATAAGCATTATAGACTGCAGGAACATAAACACCCAATTTTAAAGAATGTCTCTTTGGGGTCAACTTTAGGATTAGTTTTTTGTTGTTGTTGTTGTTCTTAGGAAGATCTGCCTGCATTATGAATTATAAATTAAATAATGAGCTGAAACATGGGCAAATCTGTCTCTTCTTCCACAGAACTTTTGCTGACTTTTTAGCCACAGGATTTTGAATTATACAATTTCTCACCAAAACCACATCCATTTCCTGAACCACCTCAAAATAGCTATGAGCTCCAGGAAAATCTGGTTAAGCTGTTCATGTACCACATTACTGGGAACCCATGTGGGTCATGCTGGTTTCTCATGTGAATTGGGAGGCCACGCTCTGGGTTCCTACAGAAAATATGTATGTGGGTAGAATTATATGCTAGAGTCCTTGTGACTTCAGTTTCCAGAGCTGGGCAATGACAATCTCCAGTTTCTTTGCCACTACTGTTTTGAACACTCTGTTCAAATGTAAGTATTATTCTTGAACTTGGTGAACTTGGTGATGGTATTTGGCAGTCTGTTTGAATCTGGTATGGAGTTTAATGTTTAGGAAGTTAGAGGGTGAAGATGGAAATAAAAGGAAGGGAAAGAAGGCCAATGCTGAATGAAACCGTGTTCTAAAAGTGTTTCTCAGTAGGCACTGTGTCTTTTTTTTTTAAAGAGTTTTTACACATTTATTTGATGTGTAATGAAATATGAAAATGAAAATATGGCACCAGAAATTCCTTTAAGAGAGCATAATAGACAACTGTTAAGGAACAGAAAAAAATTCATCTGTGTATATCCTACTATAATCATGTTTTGCTAAAAAATTCAATGTAAAGTCATCAGATCTGTTTCCATATCCCTCTTCCCTACATTCTTCTGCTTCATGTTCTTAAAACTAGATCATATTTTAAGCATTGGCTTTGGAATTCTAAAATATATATGCATTCCGTGAGACTCACTATTTCTTCCTGGAGCCAATACGTAATACAGAACAAAAATGAATCAAAGGTAGAATGGCATTCATTATATAGATACTTTATGAATTGTGGAGGAAAGAAAGAAATCCAAGGAGGGAAAAAGATAACATGCCTCTCAGAAACCATATCATGTGGAATTAAGAACTATTGATAATCAGTCTCCCTTTCCATAGAGTAGTTCCTTCCAACCTGCCCCATGGTAATCCTAAAATTATTGGCAGGAAAGTTTATATAGGTACTACGATTGGATCAAATCTGTTGCTGATAGGATTATATGACATAAAACTGGATCTTGTTGCTATAACTAACCATTCTTCATTGTTTTCAGTTCTCAGAATAATTCAGCTCAAGCAAGTATTGACATTTATGTCTGAATCCATTCTAATCTCCATCCTGTGAGGAAAATTTCTTTCGTACTCTTCAGCCACAATCTTTGGAGCCTCTGAAATATTTTTTTCCTCACAGATAGCAGTGACTTTTCCTACTGCCGGGCCTGTTGGAGCTTCTCTTTTCTATCCCATTGTTGGAGAAGCCCTTCTGTTAAAACAGATAAGAAGCTGGTACTGGGGCCAATAGTTAAATAACTGAGGCTCTATATTAGCATTTCTGAGGAAGAAGGATATGAGTCTATGTCTTCTTGGAATTTTTGTCAGCAATCATCTGAGAAGGCTCAGATGTTGGCTTAATCTCTGTGGTAGGTCTGTGGAGATCTAGTTATAGCCAGAAAGTCGTCTTAGATCATGGAAGAAAGCAAACTCAAGGTTCTTATGGTTTTAGGAGTTAGTGAAGAAAAAAAAAAAAGATTGACTCATAGAACTGGTAGACTCCAATACATGGTACTTGATAAAAGAAAACCTCTTGTTATTTCTGATAGGACAGTTCATCAGTATGTAGGACCACCCCATGCATTCTAAGAGGTTTTGCCTCCCATTCCTGTCCACTAACTTTAAGTAGTACTCCACAGTCATTGGAACAACAACAACAACAACAACAAATCCCCACAATGTTTTAGTCACCTCCTCGTGGAAAAATAATGCCTCTAGATGAAAACCACTGTTAGGGTTTTCAAAGCCTCACCTCTGGATGATGCTCTTTTTCTAGTGAGGTTTTCTGTAGCCTATGCCCAAGGATGTCCAGAGAGAAAGCTGAAAGGAAAAATAGCAAGGAGTTGGGCTATAGACTTTCAACCATTTGTTTGACTGATCCTGGTCCTCATAGAAATTGCAGGTTATTTTATTCTATGCAGAGCTCAGTGAGGGATTGGGGCTAGAAGAGTAATATCGTTTCCCTGCCAAGGAGTCCAGGAACATATGGACTAGCCTGGTCAATGTGTTTCTTCTGAGTTTGAAGAAAACTAAAACTGAGGTGTCCAATCTACCACACAGTGAAGAGATGCCTTGACAAATAGGTACATCCTCAAGATGTGCCTGTGTGTCTGTCTACAAGTCTATGTCAGGGGTTTATGTTAAGTTCCTGAAGATTCTTGTACTGGGCCTCTGCAGCTAGTCTCCAAGAGATATAGTGAATTTGTTTACATAGGCATTGGTTTATTGATTAAGAGTGACTGCTAGAGTTTGGGTCCTGCTTCTGCCACTAACTAGCTCTGAGACCTTGAGCAAGTTCTTTTACTTCTTTGAGCCATCTCAGTTTCCCACCTGTGAAGTTCAGATAATAGGACTACTAAGCTCACAAGGTGTTTTTGGCATTCAATGAGTTAAAATGTATGAAATACTTAAAAGAGTACCCAGCACTAAACATACAATAATTATTAGCCATTATTAGTGTATCTACTAAATTTAGGACAAGATTAATGTTTAGTTTTGTCTCATAGATGGAACTGCATTTGCTTCCTAAGAGGTGTGCCTAAAGAGAAAAGCTGATTTTAAGAAATTTTGTCCCTAAGTTTGCAGTCGAATGGGAGCAGTAGCTTGACTTTCTTTATATTTTTCTCTTCTTTTTAAAATGGAGTGTATTTTATTCAGCTTGAGCTATAGTCAACCTATCACACTGTGTAAGTTTAAGGTATATGAGGTGTTGATTTGATACACTTATATTTTGCAAAATGATTACTACCATAGCTTTAGCTAATACCTCCATCACACATCACATAATTACTATTTCTTTTTTATGGTAAGAACATCTAAGGCCTACTCTCTTAACAACTTTCAAGCTTATACAGTAGTCAATCCCTTATCCATGAGGATACATTCTAAGACCACCTGTGAAACCTGCTTGAAACCACAGATAATACTGAATCCTATATATACTATGTTTTTCCTATAAATACATACTTATGATAAAGTTTACCGTAAAATTAGGAAGAGTAAGAGATTAACAACAACAACAACAACAACAATAATAATAGAGTGATTATAACAATATACTTGTAATAAAAGTCATGTGAATGTGGTCTCTTTCTCTCTCAAAATATCTTATTGAACTATGTTCACCCTTCTTGTGATGATGTGGGATGATAAAATGCTTACATGATGAGATGAAGGGAGGTGAATGACATAGGCATTGTGACATAGTGTTAGGCTACTGTTGACCTTCTGGTGATATGTCAGAAGGAAGATCATTTGCTTCCAGACTGTGGTTGACCACAGGTACCTGAAGTAACAGAAAGTGAAACAGCAAATAGGGGGCACTAGTGTAATACATTGTTGTTAATGCCAGTCTCGGTGCTGTGTGTTTGATCCCCAGAACTTATTCATCTTCTAACTGGAAGTTGGTACTCTTTGACCAATATCTCCCCACTTCTACACATGTCCAAACCCCCCACCTTCACTCACCCCCTGATGACCATCATTCTACTCTCTGTTTCTTTGAGCTTGGCTTTTTTTAAGTTACAAATGTAAGTAATATCATATAGTGTTTTTCTTTGTCTGTCTGACTTATTTCACTTAGCATAATGCCCCCAAGTTCCATTCATGTTGTCATAAATGGCAGGATTTCCTTCTGTCTCATGGCTGAATAACATGTCATTGTGTGCATGCATATGTGTGTGTGTGTGTGTGTGTGTGTGTGTGTAAAATATCTTCTTTATCCATTCATCCATTGATAGACACTTAGGTTGTTTCCATATCTTGGCTGTTGTGAATAATGTTGCAATATATTCTCTGGATATAGTCCCAGAAGTGAGATTGCTGGATCATATGTTAGTTCTATTTTTTAAGTTTTTGAGGAAACTTTATACTGTTTACCATAGTGGCTGAACCAATTTACTTTCTCACCAACAGTGCAAAAGAGTTCCCTTTTCTTTACATACTCCCCAACACTTTTTATTGCTTGTCTTGATAATAGCCATTCTAATAGGGAGGTGATATATCATTGTGCTTTTGATTTGCATTTCACTGATTATTAGTGATATCAAGCATGTTTTTGTATACCCATTGGCTATTTGCATACCTTCCTTGGAAAAATGTCTATTCATTTCATCCATGTTTTAATCAAATATATTTTGTTATGACACATCACATCAATAGAATGTCAGATAAAAATCATATGATCCTCTCATTCAGTGCAGAAAAAGCATTTGGCAACATAAAACATTCTTTCATGGCAGAAACACTTAAGAAATTGGGTTATAGAAGGAACATAACTCAACATAATAAAAGCTATGTATGACAAACCCACAGCTAATATCATCCTCAGTGGTAAAGGTTGAAAACTTCATTTAAGATCAGGAATAAAATGAGGGTGCCCATTCACACCACTCCTATTCAACATAGTACTGAAAGTCCTAGCTAAAATAATCATGCAAGACAAAGAAATAAAAGGCACCAAGTCAGAAAGGAAGAAGTAAAATTGTCTTTATTTGTAGATGATGTAATGTTACATATAGAAAATTTTAAAGACTTCACCAAAAAAAAAACCATTAATGAATGAATTAAAGTTGCAGGATACAAAATCAACACACAGCAATCATTGCATTTCTATGCACTATCAGTGACATATTTGAGAAAGAAATTTTTAA